ATATATAACCAATGTACATTACATATTACCAGTACAGAACTGCATTAATTGTATTACAGAAAGTGCATAAAGCATATCTTAATACAGAAGAAAACCAAATATAAACTGAGAGGGAACAATAATAATGGTAAAAAATAATAAAATAATAATAACATTATGTTAGAAATAGATTGAAGAACAGGGCGTTAAACCAGCAGATTTTATTTACTCACGAAAGAAAGAAAATTACCAGGACATTTTGTTCTTACAAATTCTAAAGATTTAAGATAAGATTTTGTCTCATTTTTCCAATGGGATTTTTAATTTAACTGATATTAAACTGAACGCAGAAGTAACTTGATTGCGGAAGTTACGTTCAAATAACGGTGTCTAGTAACGTCACTGTTATGCGACCGATAGGCTGCCACTTAGCTACGCAGTTGTTTGTGTTATCGGATTTGTTGGAATTTTCCACTACGGAGTTTGTCCATAATAAAATAGTGAATTGAACCGTGGACTGGTGGATATTATACTAAACAAGAACCGGAACTGAGCTTTCTGTGATACAGATTTTCAACAATTTCCTGTGGTGTAGTATAGAGTTCAACCGTTTTTTATTTTGGACTTTGGGGAGTGGATGGGGTTAACCGTAAACTAGCTGTTAGCATATTTTGCCCAGATTAGCTGCTGGTGCCCGGAGCAGGTTTAGCCTTTCGTTGTTGAGATGGAGTTTCATGGAGTTGGTGGGGGAACAGGTGGAGTTGTGGTGAGCGGCGGTAACGTCCCGGCCTTTTTAACTAAATTGTGGACCCTCGTGGAAGACCCGGAGACCGACCCTCTTATCTGCTGGAGCCCGGTACTTACTTCACTTTAACTAGCCTAGCCTAGCCTAACTTAGCTTAGCATTGTAGAGCTAACTGCACGTAGAATCTGTACGTCTGTCTGGCTCTGTTGTCATACGACAGACTTCAGATTTTAAGCCTTGATTTTACTTTAAGAAAAAAGTATTCATATTTGGATGTTATTCCACTATTTGTGCCCTAGTTATCTTAAATTTGCAACGCCAGACAAACAAACCGAGCATGATATCTGATTAGCTTTTGGATAATGAGATCTGTTTAGTTAGTTAGCTTTGGTTTAACTGATTTGAGAGTGACGATCTTGCCTGCCGACATAAGAAAGCATGAAAATCCCTTGGCTTGGCTGTTGATTCCTGTCCCTGTAAAGTTAAATGGGCGATCAAATGTTTAAACTCTTAAGGAAATACTTGCTTTTGTGTGTAATGGTTTCTGTAATGGTCCTGCTCAATCTAAAACAGAATAAAATTAAAAATATATTTAAACATGTTGTTAGCTCTATCAACGTGGTTACAATTTCAAAAATAAGTTTAGTCAAGTTACTTAAAGAAATTTATAAATTCTTACACAATTGTAGAGGAGATGGCTTAAGTTTGCATTTCGTTAAATAAAGATAATATTGAGCTGTCATGTTTTGTGATTATCTAACGTTCAGCTTATGCTCTTATGCTTTATCATCTAAATTGGCTTATGTACACATATTGAGCAAATACATATTTGTAATTTATAATTTACAGTGTCTACAAATTAATGATCTTGTTTTCTCTCAGTAGATGTAATTTGTTTAAAGAAGACAATCTGTCAATTTCTATTTTATTTGGTGCCTATCTCCACTGGTTATTGGGTAATGGTGTGCCTAGGGCCGCTGGGTTTAATTTCCAGTGTTTTTTGGGGAAGAAGTAGGTGGTACACCCATAACAGGTCACTGCCTTAACTAGCTGTACAAAAGTAAAAATCGGATTAACTATATCACTTTCCTATTAGATTTTTATGTATTCCATCAACACACATTTGTAGTGGGTGATGCACATCCTAAATCATAATGGTACCTGTAAGAGAATATTTTTTTTCTGTGCAAAAAAACTCATCAAAAAACATTTTATTTCACATTCTCCTTGACTAATAGCGAGCGCAAAATAAAATCACTAAATAGCGGAAAAAAAACAAAGAAATAGTTAACACTATGCTGAAATCATAAATCCTAATGTACAACAATACAATTGACATCCTGTGTTCAAGGGTACCTTTGGGAGAAAAATTATCAGCGCACTGTTCTTGACTTGTAGATTTTGTATCTTTTCCCAGATGCCAGGACTGCGAGTATGTCCTGGAAGGGGCCCTGGCTGTTTTTAGCTGTAGTTCAGCCTTCCCACACAATCCTCAGTGCAGAAGTTTTCTATCCACACCTGTCACTGTCTATAACGTATTTTACAAAACAGTTCCCCTATATGGTGTTTAAGGTGGATCCCTTTTTAAAATGCCTCAGGCAGTTCATTACTCATCATCATCAATAAGTTGGCCATCTTCGTAACCAGTCAGAGCTTGTTGTATTTATTCATTGCAGTAAATTTAAAGTGTTATTTTAAAAAAAATGTTTCTCAGACATCTAACTTTACATTCCCATGACCAGTTCAACACAAATTGTCTAAAGTCACACTTTGGAGCTACACTTCATTTTATTTATTTCCAAATCCTATAGCCCTATGTCCATCTCTGTCTTGGGTGTTGTGTCCTCACTGCATGCAGTCCTCCCATCTCTGTCCTTATTTCTATTCCTCTTTGTTTTTCATACCTTCCTTCCTACCTTCTGTCCTTCATATCTTTTTTTATTGCCCTGCGTTTGTCCTGTCTTGTTTTCCTTCTGCTTACTTTTTTCTTTCCTTGATGGGTTTTCCTTCTTTTTGTGTGTCCTTACTCCCTTTATTCTCTTCCTTGAGGTGTTCTTTCATTCTTTCCTTTTTTCCTTCCCCTTCATTTTGTCCCTGTTTTACTGCCACTTCTTTCTATCTTTTGTTTAACTTTCCTTATTGTTGGTGTCTGTTTTTTTGTATTGAAACCACAAATGAAAGCTTTTTTCTTTACATCCTAAATGTACAGTAAACATATATTTCTCACAGATGAGCTAAAAAGCAGGATAACCTTGTCATGTATTCGATCTGATAGTGAATTTACCCAGTTTGGCGAATTAAACACCCTCACTCAATTCCCCACGCTCGACTGGCTGAAATACTAAAGCTCTCAAAAGGTTTCAGTGGCATTTTGTAATGGTAAAGAAAGAACAGAAAAACTTTGGTCTGATTAAATTCGAACTGTTATTGAAAATTTAAGTAGTATTCATAGAGTTATAGTGATCTTTTTTTGCATCCGTGGTGTGTCCTTATAGCCCTTTTTTCTCACCAGCTCTGTATACTTGATGAAAAAGCATAAAATGAAATAAGAGCCATTTTAACAGCTTGCAATTGAAAGCCACTTATAGTAATAAACAATAAACAATTCACCATCATTTATGTGATGTTTTGCGTTGGATAAATAATGGATATCTATTATTTATAGTTTCCTGAATCTTACTTTTTTAATTGGGGTGTACAGATATAAAATACATTAAATGTTGCTGTTTCCTGAGTGAGAACTCTTACAGCAGGATTTCTGGTACGAGTGGAAAACATGTATGTCTTCAATGTGGGTTACATTAAGTTACATGGATGTTCTGCATTAGCTGAACATGTTCCCACTGATAAATAGCAGTTAAAGGTTCTCTGATAAAACATAGCCTGGGTCAATACAGCTAACCTAGTCTTTCTCTTTCACGTCTAAATTTGTGGTTCTATAATTGTATTTGAAAGTGTCCTTTTAGCAATAGATTGATTTTACTCTTAAGATTCTTGTGGTTATATCACAAAACTTTGATCTAAGAGAACTATGAGTTAGAGAATTGGCTGCTGGTTCTTTAATGTTTGAGCTCTAAGTGGTTAAGTGGTTAGGCTGGTTTTGGTGTAGGGGTACAGAATAAAAATGGGTCAGAACACAGGGAGGGATAAAGGAAAGATTCTACCTGGGGAGAAATCGGATCTACACTCAACAGTCTTGTGGAGCTCAGATCGCCGCTGCCTTTTACAGCACCTATTTGTAAAGCAATCGTGTTTAGCTGCAGCTCTTCTGTTCTGCCTTCACAGATAGTTAAATGGAAAAACACTAATCATGCTCAAGATCTTTGTAAAGTAGTTTGTTTATTGTCAAAATTGCATGTTTATAATTGGACCGTAACTTTTACTTAAGAATACTTCTACTTTTGGTTATTCTGTTAGCTTAAGCTGTTGTGTGCAGTTTAATGTGATACATTTACAACCGTAGATAACAAACATTAAATATTTTCAAAGTTTCTTTTTTACTATAGCTGGGGCTATTTATTTCTTTGATTTAATTTGTTTGTATTTCCCCTTCTTTCCAGAGTGGAACTAGCTTCCATGTGTTTGATCAGGGTCGGTTCTCTAAAGAGGTTCTACCAAAGTTTTTTAAACACAACAACATGGCTAGCTTCATTCGGCAGCTCAACATGTGTAAGTTTCAGTATCAATTTTTATCAAGTCAAAGAAGGAATCCTGTTTAACAGGCACTGTTTTTATCACAGTAGAAAATGCTTCAGATAACTTTAAAGGAATGGTGTAGGTTGAAATGGAGGAATTCTTTGTCTATATTGCTCCTCAGATGGTTTCCGTAAGGTGGTGCACATCGAGCAGGGCGGCTTGGTGAAACCAGAGAGAGACGACACAGAGTTTCAGCATCCATACTTCATCAGAGGGCAAGAGCACCTGCTGGAGAACATCAAACGTAAAGTCACTAATGTAAGTAGCATGCAGATAAACCAGTCGCACTCAGTCGAAAGGTCTTAAATTTCACAACACTTTAAAACTCTTATTTTCATTACACGTCTTCTTTACAGTTAAAAACAATCTCCAATGATCAGTAATAAATGACATTCTTTGTCACGTCAATGTCTGATAAAATAAATGCTAAGTTTGGGTGGTTTGATTTTCAAAATAAAATGTATTTCATACCATAAATCACTTATTGAGTTTTGTTTAACAGAAACCAACTACAAAAGACAGAAGTTGCTTTTCCTTAACTCGTCATTCATCCCCTCTAGGAGTTGATCTGAATTCATAGTGCAACTAAATACAAGCTGTAAAACAGTCTGTCATTCCTTGTAATTATTAAAAATGAAAGCACACAGATGATGATGTTGTTGTTTGCAGCTTGTGGTAATATACAGAGTGCTTGTTTATTATCTTGGGGAAAATAAGGAACAGATTGATGTGAATCTGTAGATAACATTATTAAAAATGTCATATTCAGAAAAATTTAACTAGATCATAAAGTTAAACTTTCACCCAGTGCTGATAAATACCAAGCCAATGTGGAAAGCTTTCACCACAGGCCTAAAAGAAACAGTTGTTTCTGCTCAGCAGTCTGGGGATGGTTGTAAATAATTTTCCAGGTGTACCATACTCCATCATATTCTGAAGAGAAAGCTTATTTTCAATAAAAAAACATTAATGGATCCTATTGTTATTGATTATATCAGTAAGGTTCCCCAGATTTCACAAACTGTTAACTAGATTTCATACTCTACCCACATTAGTCGTACTGATGAGTGTTACAAATTCTGACACTGTAAAAGGGAAAAAAAACAAGCAAGAGAATGCTATATTTGTGGGAATATAATGTTCTCAGGTTTTCTGAATTTACTGCAACATTTCAGAAGCTTAGACCAATTTCCCAGCCTGGGATTAATACAGAAGAACTACTGGTCGATCAGAGCATGTTTTATTTAATTTGTAATTGTAAAGAAAAACAGACGGCA